CTTTCATAAGATACAATTATGGATACAAATACAGACATGGTTAAGGATTTGCAGATGGCCGTAATGTAGGTGGGAATGTAAACAATGGGATACCAGTTGTTACGTCAGTAGAGAGATACTGAATTGAAAGGGGGTTCATATGTGTAGGGACATGGGCTTTATGAACTCTAGGAGCACTGTACAGCTTTCCTGTGTGCTTCCGACCTTACACAGCCTGCTCCCACAATAATGCTCGGCACCACGAGGTCCGTGTGGTTTCCTATGACTTTACAAGTCCTGCTGCTCTGGGTCTTTTCTGCATCACCCAGGGAATTGCTTTGGTCATGCCTCCAAAGAGTGGGTCCCAGTCTCCGTAATACTTGCTGTTTATCTGGGACTTGGTCCTTAAGAGTTTTTGTAAGGTCTCCTCCCTACAAGAATAAGCGTGTGAAAGGGGTTATCTGCTGAACTCCAACTCCTCACTTCAGGAAGCGCTGATTAGGGGGTCATCTGGGAAGTCCCAGTATCCATCAGGACCCTCTAGTGTGTTATCATTCAAATATACATCCACTGACGCCCACATATTTAGTGACATCCGTCATACGAGGTGCTGGGCAGAGTGTGAGCCAAAGCAGACGCTGTCTCGCTGTCAAGGAGCTTCAAGTCCAGTGGGAGATAGAGACATAATCCACCCACCATAGTACCGTCACTGACACAAGCTCAAGTCCAGATACCATGAGCATCTAGAAGGGTGGGAAGCTTGGGGAATCTTCCCTGATGGTAAAGGCGAGCTGAAGCCTACAAGAAGGAGAAGAATGACCCATGGGAAGAAGACAAGAGGGCAAAGATAAACACTGCACACGAAAGGAACAGAAAGGTGCAGCATTCCAAAGGTGGGGGGCAGCCCGGACAGGACGAAGGGTTAAAAGAAAATCTGGAGAGAGAGACAGAGAATCAAGAATGAGGTTGCCACATTACGTTCATCTGTTCTGAGAGCAATGAGAAACCACTGATGGGTTTTTAAAAGAGGGGGAGCTGACTGGATTTCCATTCCGACCTTGACTTGCGAGATCCCTGGCAGTAGATATAAAGCCTGGATTTCAGGAGCCAAGAGAGATGAGGAAACCATCGGATCTTCCAGAAGCAGCTGTGACTTGCTTGTGGAGATGATGGGATCTCCAAAGAGCAAGAGAACAGTCAGAGCAAATGGCAAAGCGTCCTGGGCTTTGGAGTGGAAAGTGAGTGGAAAGTCCTAACACCGAGCGTGCATCTACGGTCTGGATGGAGTGAGGTGATCTGGCCTAGCATTGACAGGGAGGGCTCTCTCCTCTCCGATCCATCTGTCTGAGATCAAGCAGGAGGGCCTGGAGTCCCAACCACGAAACCAGAAGGATGCTTGGGAGACTGGAGGGACATCCAGGCACTCCACACTGGCCCCATGCCCCCCCCCCCCCCAGCTGCTGTGAATGTTGGCTGTTAAGGGCTCACGGCTGCCCCTGTGTCCAGACAGTCGCCCTGGTCCACACAGAAGCCACCTGGCCTGGGAGGTAATCCCACCTTCCCACCTCCCACCCCAGCAGCCTACAGCAAGGACCGACTGTCCGCTAAGCTTGGGCTGCTGACAAAACACCAGAGACTAGGTGACTTAAACAACAAGCATTTATGTCTCAGAGTTCTGGAAGCTGGGAAGTCCCATATCAGGATCCCAGCGAGAACCCTCTTTCTGGCTTCTAAACAGCTGTCTTCCTACTGTGCCCCATATGGTGCAGAGAGGGAAATATATTTCTCTTCCACTTCTTATAAAGCCACTCATCTTACCAGAGAACCTTACCCGTAGGACTTCAGCAACCCCTAATGACCTCAGGAATGCCCCATCTCCAAATACTATCCCACTGGGTTAGAGCTTCCACATACGAATGCCTGGGGTGGTGGGGAGGGAGAGACCCAGCTCTGTCCCCAGCACTGACCGACCCTGCTAGGCCAGTCCCTGCAGGAGGAAGGATTGGGCTGAAGCTTGTCTTCAGGGAGACTGTTCTCTCGATTAGCTTTCTTTGCTCTGCCCCGACTCCTCTTCCCCCATGAGCAGCCCCTTTATTGGTGATTTATTTCACTTGAATGAAAATCTCCATCTCGGCTCTATTCTTAGAGAACTGCAGTCAGAGCACCAGGTTCTTGGATCGCCAGGCAGGCAACAAGCACACTCCCAGCACTGACTGCACCGGGCACGGGGAAGGGGCCACAACGGGCCACTATGACCTGACATCGCGAGACCCAGATGCTCACCCCCCGTGCTGCATGTGACACGGGGCAAGTTATCCAGCCTCGCTGAATCTTGGGCTCCTCCTCCATAGGACATTAACAACACTGCCTCTCCACTGAATGGCCCAGGATCAAAGTGCTTGGAAAACCAAAACTATGAAAACCTTGGTAGGTAATTCATCAATGCTCTCAGATCCCTGACATGCACATATTCTGTCCCTAACGACAAAAGAGCCCCAACTCGCCTCCTTGTTATGGGTTGAATTGTGTCCCCCAAAGAAGATATAGTCATGTCCCAACCCCAGTACCTGGGAATGTGACCTTATTTGGAAATGAGAACTTTGCGAATGCGACTAGGTTAAGATGAGGTCATACTAGATTAGAGAAGCTATAATCCAATGACTGGTATCCTTATAAGAAGACGAAACTTGGACACAGAGACACACAGGGAAGAATGCCATGTGATGATGAAGGCAGAGACCAGGATCCACAAGCCAAGGAACACCAAAGATTGATGGAAACTACCAGAAGAAACTGCTCAGAGCATTCCAGAGCAAACCAATTCAGCTGACACTTTCATGCCAGACTCCTAGCCTCTGGAAGAGTTACAGAATAAATTCCTGCTGTTTCAAGCTGCCCAGTTTGTGGCATTTCGGTACCGCAGCCTGGGAGATTATACACCCCCGGTTCATAGGCACATAGCGGGATTGCCAGAGAATCATCGGCTTGTGATCAAGATATGCCCGAGCAGATCTGTGAGGAAGGGGGAAGACTCTGACCTTGAATTTAAAGAGAGATACTGTGTTGTACCACATCAGAAAAAAAGACTCCCCAAGAAATGCCTGTAAGAGGTAACCTAGCTAAACCACAAAGGAAATAAGTAAGGTGGGGGGGAGCTGCGGAGACCACGCTAAAAAGTAACCTAGTATATCATACTAGAGAGTCTAACAGACCTAGGTGATGAAGTGTGTGGCTTTCCAAGCCTATTTCCTGATAAGTAGAAAGATAATGCTACAACTTAGCACATTGCTAAATTGCTCAAAAATTTTAAACAAGATGCTGCTCCTAAGTGCTTTGCACAGTGATGGACACATTTTAAAAGAACTCTGGTGTTAGCCATGGCTTTGTTATTGTTTTGTTACTAACGGTGTGAGTTCTTAGAAACCTAACCTCCCTGAGCCTTAGCATTTTCATTCATAAATCGAGCATAACACACATTTCACAAGGTTGTCGTGAGGATGAAAGCGATGACGTGGAAGGCTTTTCGACTGAGCTGTAATGGGCATATGACTGTGCACGTTCACATACGATGTGTGGATTGGGCACATTTATGTTATGATTTGATTCCTGCACAGCATCAGCCAACACCTCTATCATATCACATAATTGATTGATTGATTGATTGATTGATGGGAACAATGGATGGGCTTCAATGGCATTATACTAAGTCAGGTCCTGTATAGGATGGGTGATTTCTCATCAATGTCTGCTGCCACCGGCGACAGACCTGAGCCAGTACAGTTCCTAGAGAAGGACACTAGAGGGCAGCAGGGTCTCATTTTTGTCCCGTTCCTTTACCAGGAAGCTAAGACAGCCGTGAGAGGAAAACCCTCCTCTCCAGAACCAGTGACTGCCTGCTTTTCCCTGGGGGACCCCCAAACATCCCCATGGGAAGAAGTCAGCCACTTGCCTTTCTTTTGGAGGAAAAAGCAATTTAACGGAATGCACATTTCCCAAGAGCCCACTGGGTATCACGAACCCCAACGTAAAACAAAGGTTGTATTTTACAGGCATATTGTTGGAGTTTTACGCGGTGTAAGTGAAGCCCCTCCCTGCACAGGGCTTAACACATCAGAGATGCCGAACCAATCTGGGGACTCAAAAGTAGACCAAGTTTTGCAAAATCAGTCCCTTTTGTGATCAGTTTCCTGAGTTACCCAGTCATAAAACCTTGCTTATACGGACTTGTTATGAAGTCTATAGTTTGTGTCACAAGCATTAAGAAGAGAATTCCTCCGAAGTTTTAGTCCCGTTCTTGTCTGGTTCGGTGTGGGGTTTACCATAGCTTTATGGCTGAGTATTTACCAGTCCAGCAAAGCCAGGTTTCTACTTTGCTGGGGCTTCACATGCCAGAGCCAAGTAGTTCTAGAATGCTCCATTCCAAGAGCCACACATGCCCTGCTCCTGTCTTCCCCTAGTCCCCCTGCACCCCTCCCACTGGCTGTATTATACGTCTTTCTTATTATTAGGAGACACTTCAGGAGTGCAAAAAGTATAGGGAATCATAGAACAGGGACCCACGTAGTCGCTGTCAGGTTTAAGAAAAAAAAAAAATTATTTCAAATAAACAGAAAGCCCCCAGGGATGCACAAGGTACTGCCCCCCACCTCCTGCCCAAGTGGTCACAATCTGGAATTTGGTGTTTGTCACCAAGGCTATTCTCCCCACCGGGAAAGTCTGCAGAAGCACCAAGCATTCCTTCTAGGTTTTCGTAACAAAAGAAAGAGAACTGCACGCTCCACACCCTGAGCAAGAGTAGGAAAGGGAGAGGCAGAGGTGGAGTGGGGTCTTTCTGAGCTCCAGCCGGTGCAGGTGCCTGCAGCCAGGAGAGACTGTGATGGGGCAGGGGGGTTGGGAGGCAGGGTCACGCAGTCCCCTCCCTGCCCCCCACCCCCGCCCTGCCCATCCCTCCAGCAGTTTCTCCTCCCCCAACGCACAGATCGGACCCGCGGAGTCGGCGCCGGATCCCCAGCGCCACCTACCGACGACGATGAGGACTTCCCTCTCGATGTGGGCCTGGATGTAGATGCGGCCGCGGCGCTCCGTGTGGTCTGTGCCGCACAGGCTGGGGACATTCATCACGCAGCGCTTGTGCACGTTCATCATGCAGGCTGCGAGGGCAGAGAAGGGCGCGGCTCAGGCTGGGGCCCTCCCGCCCCGTGTCCTCCGAAAGGCTCTTCCAACCCCTTCCCACCCCCCATCCACCCCCAGGCCCGGACGGACAGAGGAGGTGGGACTTTGTCCGTCCTCCCTGAAGCCTCAGGGTTCAGCCTGAGTCCGACCCGTGCCTACCCGAATGGCTCTGAAGCCAGCATCACCATCTTCAATGCCACCAGATTTGGGGGGGGGGGGGCCTCATTACTCAGCAACAGACAATCCGCACACCAGCCCAGCCGGGACTTGGGAGAACGTGCTGTGGACCCAGACTCCCAAACCACGAGGAAGCCGCTGAGCAAATGTACTTACTGTCACATTTCATCCCCTGGTGGATGAGTCCGTACAGCAGTGACCCACAGTGGTCACAAAACGTGGGGCTGGAGTACGTGTGGATCTTAAACTTGTGTTTGCTCCGGGGGTCCTAAGGCCAAGAGAAACAAACAAAAGAGGCCAGTGTCAGCATGGCCAGTCAAAGACTGGAGTATCCAAGTAACACTCTGCTTGGAGTATCCCTGGAGAACTCAGCGAGAACTGTAGCCGCCCCAGCACTCCTCACCCCTGTTAGGACCATCACTGGGGCAGGGCACCAGATATGCATTTGGGAAATAGTGCTTGAATGAGCGAATGACTCTGACAGCAGCTGGCTCCCACGGCAGCCCCAGCCAGATCCCTGTGCCACCAGTCCTCCACCTGAGAGCCCAACCTCCTGACTCCTGCCTGCAGCAAGGACTCCAGAGACAGCAGCTAAACAGGTCCCTTTGTACCTATTTTTTCCCCTCTTATCCTCTGAGCATGCCTCTGGAAGGCTCTGGAGTGAACTAAAACCCGAGTCTGAGCATAAAACCTCCCTGCTTAAAGGCCATTTTCTAGTACCTCATCCCCTACAGACCAGAGTTCAAAGTCCAATGCAGGTTGTGGCAGAGCCTCCTGGTTTTTCCAACAAGACCCATTCTTTAAAAGTGTCCAAGCCTCCCTGGCCCCAAACACCTTGGACCCAAACCTGGAGACCGGTGCTGAAAGGACAGAACTACACTACTAGTCTTGGACTTCATCCCTTTGGGCAGATATCTGAGAGGAAACCTACTTTCTGTCTTGCCTCAGTCACTATATCTGGGGGCTATTTGTTATAGCAGCTTATCTGGTTCCCTAACAAACATGCCTTTCATAACCTGGCAGTATAGTACAGAGCTTCAAGGTACAGACTTTGGAGCATAATCTGGGTTCTTCTCAGCTGTATGACTTCGGGCAAGTTACTTAATCTCTTTGTGCTTCAGTGTCCTTGTCTATAAAATAGAGGTAATGGGTGTGCTGGGTGGCTCAGTGGTTCAGCGTCTGCCTTCAACTCAGGTCATGAATCCAGGGTCCTCAGATCAAGCCCCATGTCAGGCTCCTTGCTCGGCGGGGAGTCTGCTTCTCGCTCTACCCCTCCTCGCTGCTTGTGCTCTCACTCTCTTTCATGCTCTCTCACACAAATAAATAAAATCTTTAAAAATGATAATAAAATAAAGGTAATGGCAATGCTACAAGCTTATTAGCCCACTGGGAATAAATGGATTCATCTGTGTAGAGATCATAGAACCACCTGGCAGCCCATAAGTGGTATAAGCTCTTGCATTATTATTACATCTCCCTTATAACCTCAGCTATGTCTCCCCAAACACACACTCTGTTCTCAGGACACAGGACTCATTCATGCCCCTCAGACATGCCCCTCTGGCTCTGCATGTTATCTTTCTTACTCAAGAGCTGCTCTTCCATCACTGGCCTAACTACAGAGCTCCTTCTTCTCTTTCCCAAAGCCAGCCCAAGGGCTTGTCCTCATTAGTATAGTGATGAGTATCCCCACCTGTCCCAAAGCCAGCCTGAAAGTTGCTTTCTCTGTGCAACAATGTGCAGCAGAGGCTGGAGAGCATGGACCTGGGATTCCCACCCAGGGCTGATCTGACACAACGGTCTTTGCTATATGCTACCCCTCTCTTCCCTCATTCGTTCAGCTTATCGTGTGTTTACTTGAACCTGATGTTCTAGTAACAGACAGAAAATAAACAAGTGAAAATAAATACACACAATAAGTAGATATTACATTATGTGCTGTTAAAGTGTTGAGTGTTTTTTCCTGAAATGTTCTATATATAAACTGTACTGAATTTTACTGTATGTTTAAAAAAAAAGTGAATTTCCCCTGCATGAAAACAATATCTCAATGTAAGCCTGGCTAAAAAAAATCTTCCATCATTGAAGGCTTTTGGGGCGCTCACCTTAGAGCTGAGGAGTGCCTCCAACCCTCCTCCAAGGAAATACCTGTTTATGACCGCTGTTGGCCTGTAGGGGGAGTTCACGGCTGCTCTCACTCCCCGCTCCAGGCGAGGTAGGAGAGCAGATCTGGTTGGTCAGATTCCAAGGCACTGATTGGCCCCGCCTCAGTGGGTGGTGCTTGCACACGTGTGTAAAGGCGCACCTGCCATCTTTCTCTTTCTCTCCGGTAGCTCTCTCGCTCCCGGGAGGCTGCTGGCTTCAGATCCCATGGTCCAGCCCTGAAAGTGTTGGGATGAGTGGCCTGGGTCAGCTCAGCCCCAAACCCTGTGGCAACTTCTCTCTCCTTGGCTTTTGTGCTCTTTTCTAGTTCCCTGATACGTGGACCCTGGCGTATAGCCAAGAATTTGTTTTGATTATGGTTTACATTTCCTTAGGCATACCTAGCATAGAAAAAGGGAGTCTCCAAGAGACTCATGAGCTCGACCTGGAGATTTGGGACGATATCCCGACTAATAATAAATGGCCTCTTTGCTGGGTTTCCTTTCTTCCACATATACATCTCCTTGGAATATCTCAGGGAGAAGGATTTGAGCATTTCTGACTAGATATTACCAAGAACCTTCTCTTCCCCATCATGTCTCTTCAACAAGAGGAGATGCCGGGTGGCACAAAGAATGGGAAGGTAAGGGACGCGTGGGTGGCTCAGTGGGTTAAAGCCTCTGCCTTCAGCTCAGGTCATTTTCCCAGGGTCCTGGGATCAAGCCCCACATCGGGCTCTCTGCTCAGCAGGGAGCCTACTTCCCTTCCTCTCTCTCTCTCTGCCTGCCTCTTTGCCTACTTGTGATCTCTGTCAAATAAATAAATAAATAATCTTTAAAAAAAAAAAAAAAAAAAGAAAGAAAGGAAGGAAGAAAGAAAAGAATGGGAAGGTAAATGAAACATTTCCTGAGAGCTGCCCAGTGTATGCTGGGTGTCTCTCAGGCACTTTCTCCGGTCCTCACGATATTTCATTTGGAAGGTGTTATTCGTTCCCATCTTAGTGACAGTGAAATGGGCCCAGACTAGGGAGACAGAGATTTTCCCCCAGGTCACCCAGCTGGCCCACTGCTGAGCTGGGATTCACAGCCAGCTCTGCCTGGCTCTGAATCTGGGACACACCAAGCTTCTCTCCCTTCTCTCCTCCCTCCCCAACTTCATTAATGTCCTTCTGTTCCAGTCCAGCTGCAGTGGCACTTCCTTCCTTCCTTCACTCATTCACCCAGCAAATGTTTTACTGAGAGCCAGGGTCTTTCTAGACACGGGGGATACGAGTGTGAGCAAGGAGCCAGAATGCTTGCTCTCACTGAATTCACATTCTAATGGCAGAGAGAAACAAACAAAGAAACCCCACCAATATCCTGCCCTCCCAGATCTTCTCCCTCATGGCATTTAAATCACTGGATTGTGATTACATGTGTTAATTTCATCTCTCTGATGCTCAGTTACAAGCAACATAAGGGAATTTTGCTCCAGGCATATACTGTACTTGGCATATAGAAGGTGCTCAATAAATGAGCGAGAGTTTGTATTTATTAAGCATTTACTCACACAGGAACTGTCTTTCAGGGATTTACCAGGCAGGCTTTAACTCGTTTCATCCTTCTAACATCCCTCGGAAGTCTGTACTTTACTACACTCGTTTCACAGATGAGGACCGAGGGGCAAAGGGACTTGCCCCCAGCTCCCCAGCATCAGCAAGCCCAGCAGTTCGCACAGTTGCTGGCACACATGGAGAGGTTTGAGTTGCGGTGGCAGCTGGGGGCTGTTGTCATTGCTGCTAACCACTGAAAGGCCCTGAGCCATGCATGTGCTGTTCTAGAAAATGACTTGGAGAGCCCTGTTCAAGGCAGATTATAGCCAGACAGGAGAAAGGAAGGCCAACTGAGCACACTGCAGGGGAAAGTTTGCTTCTGGTTTATTTAGAAGCCGTTGCAGATCCCTCCAACCTTGCCACTCCCCCCCCACCACCACCCCGGCCCAGGCTTTCAGGAGGGTTCAAGTTGTACCAGCCCCCCCCCACCCCAACACACACACACCCAACCCTCAGACCCTCCAGGTCATCCTCTGTTCACTTCTGCCCTCCTCCTTCTTGCTACCTGGGAGAACTTGGGATAAAGCCACAGTCCCACAGCAGGGGGCCCCATGACCCTAGGATCCTCAAGGAGAATCTTAAAGGGTACCTGCTCATGCCCAGTGCCGCCTATGAGATGGATGGGTTTGTGCTTCGAGACGGCCCACTCTCCGGGACACAGATGACTGCTGGAAAGGTAGGCGCTTGGCTCAAATGACTCACATGTTTAGTGAATGGGACACCAGCAGTCAGGAACACAGGCAGCTCCAGGGCTGATGTGGCCCTTTTTTACAGTGGGCTCCAAGGAACACAGAGGAACAAAGACAACAGGCCACATGCCCCAAGGGATGGAGCTCCTGGTTCCAGTCACTCTGGGGCTTGGCATCCTGTCCTCCAATTCCATCGACTCTTCCTGTGTCCTTTGTGTCCCCTGTGTCCTTGGTGCTTATGCCCATCCAAGTACGCACATTCCCTGCAACCGGGGATGGGAGTCAAGATATTTTTAATCACTTCGGCTCAGGTACAGCTCACTGACCAATCAGAAGGAGCAGCAGGTTTAGCTCTGCTGGGAGTTAACTCTGTGGTTGCCAGATCATGGCGGGGGGGGGGGGGGGGGGGGGGGGGGGGGGGGGGAGGGGGGGGGGGGGGGGGGGGGGGGGGGGGGGGGGGGGGGGGGGGGGGGCAAGGAGCTGGCACGGTAAGAAGTGGGTGTGGTGGAAAGAGGAGGTTCAGAGGGCCTGGGGCTATTTATCAATCAGCCTTTCAATATTTCCAGTATTTCAGTATTATCAGAACCGATACAGCAGTGTTGGTACATTCAGGTTAAATATCGGCCTGGCCTTTAACCAAAAGACATCCCCTTCCCAGCCTTGGAGGCTGCGGCCACTGACCAGCTCTGGGATGAGCCTGGGGATCCATGAAGCTTCTGAGTCGGAACCTTCCCCAGCATCCCAGCCCACACAGGCTGGGTCTCCTCCAGTCCGTCTGTCGCCCATCCCCATCCCTGGACCAGGTCCTCCTTGATGCTCAGAGGTTGCAATCTGGAGGCCAGGGGC